AAGATCTGTCTTTGAAAAATTCACAGAGTAGCTGTTGATGATGAAATTGGGGGTAATGTTGAGATTATAATTTTCTAATATAGTTTTCTTATTGTTATATAACTTGCAAAGCAATACTTCTGGGTGTACCTTTGAAGGTATTGCATATATACAGGCTCACATGTCCCATACCTTGAGTTACAGTAAAACTACAGTATATCTTATTATGGCAAATTATAAATCTAACTGATTGTGGAAAAAATCACAGGCCAAGTATGCACTGTATAATGTAGTCCCCAGTGTTCAAAACAGCACACAATTTTAAATACAAATACATAATACAAATGCAGTACATGGACTTATTCTTTGTATTTAAAATTGTGTACATAATCATACATATAAAAGGACATATATATACACACATATTCAAGATAAATATATGCTACCAGCTAAAACTAGCCAGCCAATAATCACAACCAATTAATCTTCTTCTGTATTTAATATTTAACTCTCAGCCACGCATAGGAAAGTTTGTAATTCAAACAATATGTATTGTTTGAACATATGTACAATTTATGTTGACACCATCCTTTCCTTGTCAAAATTTTTCTCCTTTGAGCTAAAAACTAGCATGTCTGTCCTTTCCAAAAATAAAAAATAATAATTCTGAATCCAGTTAAGTACAAAGAATATTACATTGTAAACCACTGAGTTAAAAAAAAAAAACAGAATAGCCTGGCTGGTGTATTTCAGTGGATTGAGCAGGGGCTTGCGAACCAGACAATCGCGGTTCGATTCCCGGTCAGGGCACATTCCTGGGTTGCAGGCCAGTTCCCTGCAGGCCAATTCCCAGCAGGGGACTCATGAAAGGCGACCATACATTGACGTTTCTCTCCCTCTCTCCTTCCCTTTCCCTCTAAAGATAAATAAATAAAATCTTTAAAAAAAAACAGAATAGTTTCAGTTATATCATGAACCCATCCACCTATTGCAATATAAAATATTCCATAGTATATCCTCCTGCTTTTCTAATTCAGAAGATGAATTTCTCTTAAAAAACAAAAAGCTACATACAAGTATCCTATTCAGCTGCCAATTTAATCAGTTTGGCCATAGAAATCATAAGAACTTGCTAAAAATAGTTAAAAATAAGAATGATTAAAGTTACAACTTTGCCTGTCATGTTTTTCAATTCTTTCTCCCCAAAGAATTTTAAATGAAAGTATTTTCTCAGAGTTGTTATGATTCATGAGTAATTTGATGCCATTGTATTTGCATCTGTCTTAGGACAAGTTTCCCCCAAATCTTGGAGAAGTCAGCATAAATGATCAGGTGCCTTTCAGTGTGAAATGCACGGAAGCTTTGCCCATGGCCTTGCCAAATGCACTAAGCAAAGCTCCTGATTTGCCAGGAGGAAGTGCTTCTACCTCCTCATCATGCACGGAGTCATACTGATAAATGGCAATTATTCAAATGTATATTTCTATCATAAACCATTTTCATAACAAAGTCAGGAAGAACACTGTTGAAGATTCAAAGAATCCTGTTGAATCTTTGCTATCCTTTTATTCTGTAAGTAGTGCTTATAGAATACTCCTTTTTTCTTTTCTTTGTTCAAGTGTTTTATGCCTCACTTTGCTTACGGAATGTATTTTATTTAGATTTCTCTACTCCAAGGCAATGGTCTAAGTATCCTTTCCCTTGTCATCTCATGGCACAGGGCATTTAGTTTCACTTGATGGTAAATCTGTCAGTACAGTTTGGGAATGCGTGAATGACCTACTTGTGCACCTTCACAGATCTGTCCAGTGACCAAGAGGCTGGAGAATGCGCCAGGTGACTGGATTCAACCAGAGGGGCGACAATTTAGAGATTCATGGAATTCAGACGTTCATTCTAATCTCAGGAACTAGCAGATGGCAGCCGGGCACTGGGGCTTTCATCTAAGAAACAGTCAGAACATAAACTGGGGACATCTACCAGGAGGACTATTTAAGATTTCAAGACTTTTTGCAACTTCCCTATGTTTGTTACTCTCTTCCATTCTCCCAAAGTAATTGGCATTAAAATTACTGGATGTGTGGGATAGTGTTCGGGTACCAGAAGCAGATTATCTTCTATTTCACAGTTCGTCTGGGGGGAGGGGGAGGGAAAGGAGGAGGACTGAAAAATAGAGGGGGTGATAAAGCTGAGGGGGACAGTGAGCAGGCTGAGTTTTTAGGGCTTAGAGGGAGAGCGACATAAAAGTGATAGAGGAGGCCTGGAGTGACCCGGACACAAAATTAATGAAATCAAAGCAAACAAACACATAGAACCTGCACAGCTCTTCTAGCATCTCTTCCAAAACAGGGTGAAGCCAGACCTCATCCACTCTAGAGTATCTTTTTCTCATATAAAAAATAACCACATAGGGTACCATATACACTCTCTACAATTTTAATTTATGTAAGGTGCAATTCTTAACCCTGCCTTATAGATGGGGAGACTGAGGCCTTACCACTACCAAGCATCAGAGCTGGGACTAGAAACCAGGTACTCAGACTCCAGAATCTCTGCTCTTAACACCTCAGCTATGCTGACTTGCCCTGAGTTCTTCTGCTGTCCACTAGACTACAAACTGCATAGTTATCTTTGTCATCAGTGATGCTTCATTTCTATTCTCCCGTGTTTTTCTGCCATGTCCAAAAATCACTTATTCAAGACTGTTCCTCCATGAACTAACCTATCCTATCTGCCAACAACTACATATAGCTTACTTCTGTTTTGTGTTGATTTTTACTGGAATAGTGAAAATAGGAATGCAGAAAGAAATGGATTGTCAATGCTAGAACAAAAGCATTCAATTATGGAAAAGGTGAAGTTCTAAGTTCTGATATTTATAGATCCTATAAAAGTGGTGATTTTTCAATTAAAAAACAACAGCAACAAAAACCTGAGACATAAGAAAACATAATATAAAGGTCATTTTCTATCATATAGAATAATTATTAAAAACAAGAGCAATTTTAAGGTTTGATTTTCTCCCCTTTGATTCCAACAACCTACAGCAATTGAAGTCTACTAATTAACCAACAGAGTTGAAGTCAACAAAAGCCCAGTGAGAAATGAAGGAGAAATAATCTTACCTGCAGATGTGTGTTTGAACTTTTCGCTTTTCTTCTTCCTCCATTTCCAAGGCTTGAAAATCCTTCCCAGGTTGGCAAACTTACTCCTCCTCCGGATGGGTGGGGTATGGGTACCTGGGACGAGGGAGTCAGAACGCATGGCCGCCAGCCTCTCCACTTCCTCAGCTTGTTTTTCCCAAGAAAAAGATTGAAATAGAGAGAGAGAAAAAAGTGTTAAAATGGAAGCCTCACAGATGGCTAACGTTTTCCATGGTTACAGATAACAGAAACCACATGACTGAAGTTCCGTTTCTCTTTTTGTCCTCTGAAATGGAAGTCACACCAACGTGTTCTACAGGCTGGAGACAGTTAGTCGAACCCTAGGCATATGGAAGACCTAACCATAACTTAGAATTGAGAATGAGGAGGAGAAGGAAGAAGAGAAGAGGTGAAGGAGGAGGAGGAGGAGGAAGAAGGGGAGGAGGAGGAGGAGGAGTCCTCCTCACACACCAGAGACTTCCCGCAAGGCAGGGAGGGGGCATGAGAAGAGTCAAATGACAGTGAGTGTAACTACTGGCCCAGCAATTTCTCAAATAAGACTTGGCAGATACAATCACTGTAACACCGACTGCTGAGAAAAGAGGGAGAAAACATTTATCAACTGTCTATTCCAGTGCCAACGTCTCCACCACCCACAACTCCCCTTCCTACTACCCTGCTTTACCCGGACCCACAGAAGTGCTAGAATCTGTTGAGTGTGTGGCTCTACCTTACAGTTACTCACCGATTTTAGATCAGTCCCTATTTGTTAGATTTTATAAAGCCTCGATTCCTCTAGTTTTTTTGGTTCTGTTTTAATTTTTGAAAGAAGACTCTTAGAAACTGAAATCCAGGAGTGACTTTAGAGAGCACCTAGACTAATCCCAATAACTTTACACTTGAGGTCATTCAAGCCTGTGGTGCTTAGTTGGGACCCTTCCATTAAGGTCATAATCACCCTGACCTCTTTTATAACTTGGAATGAAACAAACTCTTTTCCATCTTACATGAGAATTTACACATCTCAGTGAGGTAAATATACCATGACTTGAATTTTTACGACAGGAATAATCAAAGAAAACAACCTCCTGGGTGAAATCAAGGGGGTGGGAGGGACTCCCCTTTCCAGAAAGTCAAATAGCACCTAGAGCTGGGGCTGATCCAAAACCACTCCGTTAGACCTTTCACACTGTCCTTCAGAAACATCACTGGGACAAGCTGTCCTCGGAGGCTCAGTCTCACAGCCTGGCAGTCTGCCTGATGTCATCTGAAATGGTTTACACTCAAGAGATTCATTCTTTCAACAACTACATTTGGAACCTCTACCATGTGCCAGGTAGTATGCTATGGTGACAGATGACAACAGGCTAGTAAAGGCTCCCAGCAGCAAGACTGACAGGGAGGAGATGAATTTGAGAGACATCAGGGAAGCAAAGTCCAGGGGACTCGGTGACTGACTAGGTAGCCTGATGGAGAAGAGGCAGATAATTCCTCATACCCAGATTCACGTCAGTGGAGTGGCACCCTTCGCTCATGGGCCCGGGGGCACGGGGGAGGTAAGGTTGTGAGTGAGGCAACGATTTGGACATGATGCGTGGTCGTGGCACTGAAAGCCTTTGACTACAGGGGTCAGTGCACTGGTAGGTCCTCTTCTGAATCATTGTGTTAAGTAACTACTTACTACTGTGCCAGATGCTGTGATCACTTTTGGGCAGACACACAGAAGAAGTGGCCATGGCTGAGCACAGAGTCTAGAGGAGGAGACAAAGGGCTCAGTGTGTAAAACTGCTGAAACAGGAAATCGCGTGAAATTCAACGGTGGCAAAGAGGAGAGAGCAACCAGTTCTGCTTGGCCATGCTGGGGAAGACATTGGGGACATAACATTTGGCCAGATTTTGAAAGAGGCGGAGTTGTTGCCCCACATGGAAGAGACGCAGAAATGGATCCCTGCCAGGAGAGCAGACCCAGAAGGAACAGAGAGGGCTGAGCGAGCATGGCATGTCCGGGAAGAGCAGGAGACGGCGACCTGTGAGCACCGGTTATGTAGGGAGGCGAAGGCTGGTGGGGAGAGGTGGTAGCTGGGGGAGTCTGGAGCGAGATCAGGCAAGCTTTTGAAAGGTTTTCTTAGGTGTTTGTATCCCATAAGCAAGGGGAAAAGAAGAGAATTTGAAATGGAAATTGGCATTTTTATGTTCAACAAGTATGTATCGAGTGCTTACTTTGTACCAGATGCTTAGGCTCTGTCAGTAAACAAACAGATAAAAATACTAAGTTGTGGAGCTTACAACTAGTGAGTATGGGGGGAACATAAAATACAAATGAAACTAAGTAAACTGTAGAGCACGTTAGAAGATACATGCTTTGGAAGAAAAAATAAAAGGCAAAGTGGCACATGGCAAAGGAAATCAGGAGTGTGCGGGAGGGAAGGGGTCCAATATTAAACAGCCTGACTGGGAAGGTACACCGTCAGGACACAGGTTTATTTCTAGGAATATTATCCTAACAGCAACCGGAACCTGAACCAGCCTGTGAAGAAACAACTGACAGAGACAGTAAGGAAGAAGCCACTGACATGGCCATGAGGGTGGTGACTGGAATCCGAGTCGGGCAGGGACAGAAGGGACACAGAAGCAAGATGACATTTGGCCAGGTGGCAGAATCAGCTGATCTTGGGAACTTCCTATATAAACATGAAGGAGGACAAGGAAGTAAGAAAGGCAGAAGTTTTGCTGCTCATGACTGGGTAGTGAAGACTTTCTGTCTTTAAAATAACTTTGCAGAAGGAAGAAGCTGAATAGGAAGGCAGATTAATGACAAGGGCTTTAGAGCCAGAAAATGCAGTTTGTTTACAGAGTCTGTTAAGAGGTTTGGATTTTATTTCTTAAGGTAACAGAGAACTTCTGAAGTGGAAGTATGCCAGGATGGGATGGGTAGACTTGTTCTGGCCCGTAGGCTGAGTTCCATGAACCAGCAGAACATAAGATTGAAGACGTAGAAGAAAGGTGGAGAAATTTATGAAAGAGGGATTTTAGGGAGAAGAAGAGGATGTGGGATCAAAAGCACATATAGAAGGGTTAGTCATGCCCTGGCTGGTGTGGCTCAATGGATTGAGCACCAGCCTGTGAACCAAAGGGTCACCAGTTCGATTCCCAGTCAGGGCACATGCCTGGGTTGAGGGCCAGGTCCCCAGATGGGGTTGCATGAGAAGCAACCATACATACATTGTTTCTCTCCTCTCTCTCTCTCCATCCTTTCCCCACTGTCTAAAAATCTTTTTAAAAAAGAAGAGTTAGTCATTAGAAAGTTTTCTTCTGAATTATTGAAAGTTTGAACTTACATCTTTGATCACATGTGGCCCTCACAGAGATTAATCTAGCAGCAGTGGGTGAAATAGATTACTAGAGGCTGAGGGAGCAAAATAACGACTGAGGTGGATTTAAGCAAGTCTGGGTTTCATGGTGGCTAAGGAGAGTAGTTAAAAAAGAAGCAGCTACAATGAGGGACGAGAAGGAAGCCAAATGCAGCAGGTAAACAGCCAGTGGAACAAACACTACATTTGAAAAGTATTCTCTTTAAATGGTATCAGCTGCTTGAGTTGGCACTTTTTTAATTTATTTTTTAATCCTCACTGAGGACATGCTTACTGAGTTAAAAGAGACAGAAAGGAAGGAGGGGAAAGAGGGAGGCAAACATTGACTGGTAGTCCCTCATATGCACCCTGACTGGGGACCAAACCTGCAACCTAGACATGTGCCCTGACCAGGAATCCAGCCCATGACCTCTTCATGGATGGTCATGGGTTTACGGGATGATGCTCCAACCAACTGAAGCTCCAGCCAGAGCCAGCTGGTGCTTCTTCAATGATGCCCAATGGCTGAGTACCACATAGGTGGTGACAACTGTGAGAAACTGCACCAAGGAAGTTTTGAGTCTGGGATACAAGCCAAGTCGAGATGACATGATTCCCACAAAATCATTTTCTTTTCATATATATCCATCACCTTACCCATTTCTTACCTTAGTTCATAAACTTATTGTTGCTTGTCCTGACTTTGCAAATCTCCAAACCTACATTTCCAACCCTGCCTTCAAGCCTGTAGGACTTTATACTGTTGCTAGATTACTCCTTCAGAAGCCTGCTTTTTTCAGAAACTTTCAATGGCTTCCCACAATTTACACTAGAAATTCCTTACTTCCTGCCTTGGCATTCCGGGACGTCCCCATAATAACCTGCCGAAAATTACCTTCCAGTCCGCCTCCCAGCAGCACTGCAGCCAAATGCAGGCCTCCGGCCACAGCAGCCTCATCCCGGCTCCGCGGGTTCCGATGGACATCAAACCACCGGACTTGCGCGCACAATTCCGTGTGTCTGGGGGTGTCTGCATTTGGTTGAAAGTTCCCATCTTTCTTTTGTTTCTCCAAACAGTGTAACAAACACACAAAAGGTAAAATTTTGAAAGTACACAGGTAGAAGCTTCTTGGGTTCAGTCAACCTAAAACATCTGCTAGATGTTAGAGAGATTATATACTCAATCTTTAAAAAATGTTTAAAGGCAAGATATGAGTTATTCAAGTTTGATACTGAGTTTGCTCTCACAGCTGGTTCTCAGTAATGGTTTATCAAGTAAATGAATGAGGGCATTTGATCCAGCTCATGAACATCAGTATCACCATTTGTCTTAAGAAAAATACACCACAAGAACAAAAAACTATTTCGTAATTGCATCTTTAAGAAATGATAAAAATTATTCTGAAATTACCACATTAAAATAATTGTAAGAGATTAGAAGTGCCTTGGACAAACTTGGAGTGGCAAGAAGCATTTATAATGCTGACAAAGCATTATAAAGGTATAATTATAACTTATTAAATCAATTCCTAATAAGTATACTATCAAATTCGAGATGTTTTGCCTTAAAGCACACCAGATTATTGAGAAGACTGGATGACTTTAACTGATTTACATTTTAATCATCTACATTATTTTTCCCAATTATTTTGGTGACAGGGGCTAGCTCTCAACCTCACTGCTTTGCCACCAGACCCTGAAACTGGAAGGCTTAACAGTGAGGAAAGAGGCCAATTGTGAACACAGTTTGAAGAGGAGGAAAACAAAAGAAAACAAAACTGGGCTCAGAATGAAGTGTTCTCCGACTGATCGCAGGGACATGAGAGAGGACGGGGGGGGGGGGGGGGGGGGAGGCGGGGGAGAAGAGAGGCATACAGGCCGGGCATGTTTATAAAAACAGCCTTCTTTTCAAACAGATGATGAAAAGGCTGCTTTGCCCAAGCCCACTGCTCTCCAAGGCGGCGTCCTTGTGCCGCTGAGAGGAGACAGCTGTCTAGAGAGAGTGCTCACTTAGAGATGAATCAGCTTGAATGTGAACTGCCTGGACCGAGAGAATGCTGAATCAAAAGGTAGGCTGCTGGGCAGCTGAGCTAATTCAGAGAGCTAAGGGAGAAGGGGGGGCCTGACCCACATCGTCTCTGGGGTCTTCCCACCGCCACCCTCCAAAAATAATCTTCTAAGTGATCACATTGTCTGTGGTCCCTTTCAGGACATGGCTAGGATTTACTGATTTACTGTATCTGTAGAGAGAAATAAATGTTTGGGAGATAATTTTTCTTTCCTTTTAGAAAATCAGGCAAGAAAATACTTGACTTATGCATGAGTTTAACTACCAAGAAGCCAGTAGTTTTGTCTGTGGGGCTCTAAAGCCCACCCCTTGTTGTAGCCTGGGGTTGTTCTGGTGGGCTCTTGGGATGTGCGGTGGGGGGTGGGCAAGAGATATTTCAGTTGGCACCCTTGCCATTATACTTCTCATGGTTGCTTGGTTTTCAAAAGGCTTATCCAAAGAAAGCACCAACTCTGGCGTCCTGCTGGCCTAGAAAGTGTTAGTCATACAGCGTTCCCCTGAGAAGTTTAAAGAGGGAAACCACAGTGTCTGTGCTGTCTGATGTCTAGTCAACAACAGAGGCAGAAGGGCCGGGACATCCGGGGCCCCCACAGTAGGTTTCTCCATGTGCCAAGCACTCCTGGGACTTTTGGAAGACCCGGGATTCTCACTAATTAAATACTTGCTTCTCAACCAAAGTGAACCCAAAATAGAATGCTTATGTATCAGGATCTGATGACATTCACTTTTCCTTCCAATTTCATTAGAAGGGATTACATTTTCACCATATTTCACCACCATATGAGTGGGGGCCAAAGATGGAGGTGGAGATGCGGTTAGCTGGCGGTTAACTCCAGTGAGCTGTCCAGGGGCTAAACCTGTTGCATCTCTGGCACAGGCAGGTTATCTTTCCTTATGACGGCAAAACGATGTCACACAGGTACACGGCCATTTCGAAAATTCTCAACAACTGCAGCTTTCCCCTTTAAAAATGCACATTGTGCCCTGGCTGGTGTAGCTGAGTGGACTGAGCACGGGCCTGCGAACCAAAAGATCGCGGTTGGACTCCCAGTCAGGGCACATGTCTGGGTTGCAGCCAGTTCCCAGCAGGGGATGCATGAGAGGCGACCATGCATTGATATTTCTCTCCCTCTATCTTTCCCTTCCCTTCTAAAGATAAATAAATAAATATATTTTTTAAATGCACTTTGTTTCACAGAAGCACCTCATGGCAGGGAAATGAAGCACGGATGTGAATTATCAGGCATAAGAGGGCAGTATCTTCCATTTCTCTCTCCATAAATTATACACACACTCTCGTAGAGGCCAGATCTCTTTGAAGAGTTTCTGTCCAGTCTAGGACTGACCTGTATTAACTATGAGGTGTGTTTATAACACAAGAAAAGGAGTGATACATTTCTATTGTAAAATCAGGAGCCCCTGCTTCGTCCCATGAGTTGAGGAATGGGATGAAGATGGTGAGAGGGAGGTTTGATGGGAGAAAAGCTGGGCTTTAGAGGAGGTCGCCACAAGCGCAAAAGGAGGCTGTTTTGCTCGGAGAAGGATGGCTGGTTTACAGACCACGGGGAAGCCTATACTGAGCTGGGAGGTAAAACAACACTGCCACATTGGCCACGAAGCTGCGAGAGGGTTTTCCGGCACCATGTCTGAAAACTCTCCGGTGTTAATATTGCTGAGGAGGAGGACTTGTGGTGCTCTCACCCACGTTCTCGCCCTATCCTGTACTTGACCTTCACCACCGTTATCCAGTCTTCCACTCTCCGTGCACCACCCTCCTCCTCCTCATCCCTTACTATCAGGTTGAAGATGGATCAACTGGTGTATTAGAAGTAAGGTATGAACACTGATACTGACCAAGCATAGTGTTAATGACAACAGAGCCTCGTTGAACCAAGGGTTTATGCATGTTAATCCAAAATCTGCTTAATTTGCTTGGAGGAGGGGAAAGAGTTCTGATATCCCTCAGTTTTCTGGACACAGAGATGGCTGCCTTCTCTACCTGGGAACCACCAGAACAAACACCAATCACATGCCACACACAATTACACTTCCAACACAACCAGTACACACCAGCATGGTATTTGAGACTTGCCAGCTGTACCTCTGGGGAGAGACACATAAATGTTTGTATTTAGAGAGTTGCTACAAGAAGGGTAATCTCCACAGTGGAACAAGCAACGGCGGGTGTGACTGCACAGCACAGCCCTGCCAGCTGGCAATGGTGGGAGAAGACCGTGAGGCTGCACACACCCAAACCCGTACTTCTCAGTGCATTTGCTTGGGCGCTTGGCCAACTTCCTCCTCTCTGGCTCCAGAGCTTTCTGCCTGGTGGGAGGCAATTCTACCCACTGCTGGGAGCAGGTCCCAAAAGATGCTTTCACAGGCTTGCCACTACCTTTGGCACTATGAACAGGATGGCACCTTGGCAAAGGACCCAAGGACTATGCCAGTATACAATGGAAGGAGAAAGGGGTCCGTGGATCCACAGACCATGCGGATCCATGTGGTCAAAGATGGCTCTAGTCATGTTTCTACTAATCCTCTCTTGAAAGAGTAACTGAAATCCAAGAGGAATAAGAGAATGCCCCCTCCGTCCCATGCCCTGAGATCTACTGATTTTAAAGAGAGCAAACGGAGCAGCTCTACTGGTTCTCTGACTGTAGCCACGTAACAGAGAGCCTATAATGTGGTGTACAGGACTCTGTGGACTGTGTACAGGACTCTGGACTGTGAACAAGGTTTCCAGTTACCTTGTAACAGGAAGAGAGATTCTAGACAGGACAGTGCTTCCTTGGGCATTGATGCTGATGACAATGATGACAGCAATAGTAATAATAATAATTAAAGTATTGATAACAGCTACCATTTTTTAGTCATTAAGTCTACACCGGATACCAATCAAAGCACTTACAGCATTACTTTATGTAATCCCCACATTAATCTTATGAGGAAGTGAAAGATTATCCCCACTTTACATGTGGGAAAACTGAGGAGGAACTAATGAGTAGGAAGACATAATTCCCAGGAGAAGAGAAATACATGCTGTTAAGACTTGTCTATTTTCATGAACGCTTTCTCACTCAGTGAGAGCCCAACTTTTCAAATTTCCATATTACTGACTAAAGTAACGGGGGGGCTTCAGGGATGAGGGGACAAATGAGTTTCTTTTTAAAAGGCCACAAACAGATGTCAATACAAATTGATCCCACTCTAGCAAGAGGGGGATGTTATCTGCCTTATCCTAAGATACCATAAGACATATGCACCCCTGAATGTAGGTGCCTGGGAGGATCCCTCCCTGGGTCAGCAGGGCATGTGGAACCACAGGACATTCCCTTCTATGAACCCACACTGCGAGCTACAATGAAGAACTCAGCAGGTACCAGTCTGGCCTGACACTGGGTCAGATATGCTTCACTTAGAAAATGCTATACCTGTGTATAGTGGGAAGAATGTTCCCCACATTTTAAAACCAGAAGGATATGAGTTCAGACCCAGAATCTACAGCTCCATAGTTATTGGTGGCTGAGTTCTTTCTGGCCCCCCAGCAGGTGGCATGGGCTTCTTTTGGAGGATCACCCCTTCTCCACTTCCAGTTCAGGTGTTTCAGAAAAGAAGCATGTCACTCATGATTCTAGAGGTGGGCACATGACCCAGTGCTGGCCAATCAGAACATTGCATTCTCTACCCTTCATCACTAGTAATTCACCTAGAAATGAGCAATTGATCCTAGCCAGGCAATGAGACCCAATTCTGGGTTTTGGGGGGTATTGATAGACATGCTCTCCCAATTGGGTTGTAGATCATAAAGGCTTCAAACCTGGTGAAAGCTTGGGCCATAAACTTAAAAACCTTCGCTCAGACTTGGTTAATATTGAAAGAATCTCGAGGTCACAACGATAATTCATATGCTTTGAGAGGAAACAATCCTATTAGTCAAACACTTCATACTTTCTAAGTACTGTGCTGAGTGGCTATTTATATTCTATGACCACAGGAGTCAGTGAACAAACAGCATTGCTAATAGGCCGTTCCAGTGGGGAAAAAGTCTCATTTAAATTGAAATTTATCCAGGTCTGTGTTGTTACATCTATTGAGATAATAGATGTTATCAGCACAGTTCTTTTGGAGATATTCAATATAAAATTCCTGTTTTATCTCCCAGAAATGAAACCTTCAACCACAAAAATGCAAAAATGTGTACTGACTACAAAAACGTATAAAACATTCTGTTGTTCTTTTAATCCACAGAATATATTTGTTTTGAAAATGAAACTTGTTTACATAAATTGTAAGTGAATTTCCAAGTCTTGTGTTAATCCAAAGTGACAATCTTTAGATAATGTCTGTTCGTTGTTTATCTTAAAATTTCAGACCCTAGGGTCTGATGCTCTTGAAGTCAATAAATAATACCTCTCAGAGGTTCAAATCAAACCTCAACAAAGCCTGGGTTCTCCTGCAGGGGTCAGCAAGCTCCCTGTACAGCCAAATCTTAAGTACTTTGGGGTTTATGGGCTGCCTAATTCTGTTTCAAATACTCGATTCTGCTGCTGCAACATAAAAGCAGCCATAGACAAATGTACTCGAATGGGCGAGGCTGGGTTCAACAAAATTTTATTGACAAAACAAGCATTCAGCTTTGGGGACCACAGTTTTCCAACCCTCATCCCACAGCGTGGAGCTGCTGGCGAATTCTCTGTCACCTTGAGGGAAGAACCTGCTGAGACGGAGACTTCATTACATTATTTGGGCCCCTGGATCCAGGCCCACCCGAAACCATTATACCACTGGAGAGTTTCTGTATATGAACCAAAAAAAATTCTTTATTCACTTAAGTCAGAAGGGATTGGGTTCTCTATCACTTGCAACCTAAAGTGTTCTAATAAATTCACTGGGTGACCTTAGGAAAGTCAGCTTGCTCTCCTACAAAAAGGGGATAATACTGACTTGTAAGCATTATGGCATTTGCACTAAAAGCACCCTGGCGGGGCATAGAATAGGGACTCAGTAAAAGTTATTTGAAAAATGAAATGTCTCCTCTGGCACCAGACAGACTGGTTCCTCCTGTCCAATAAGGACTCCCCTAGGGAAGAAGTTCTCTACTACTTCACTCTTGGCATGCCCCTTAAGGGATTACATGAATTTTTGAAGTTCTGGAGATTCTAAACAGTGCCAAGACCCTCCAGGCTGGTAGATCTCAAATTATAGTTATACAAGAATCAACTAAAGCATCTGTTAAAAATGTGGACCCCTGGTCTCCTCTTAGGCCTGCTGACCCTGGAATGTGAATGTATAACAGGCAGCACAGATAGTTTCAATGCAAGTGTTCTGAGAATCACACTCTAAGAAACATACTACGGTATTCCCAAGAAAGTCTGGAACCCTACTCCTTTCTCCCCAACTAAATCCATAGCCTTGGGGAAGCTGGATACTTAGGAAGACCCTTAGCACAGAGAAGTGTTATGCTTCGGTGGTGCCAGCCACCCCCAAACCCTCCAGTCTGTGGGAATCTTTAAAAATGCCTAATGTTCAGGTAGTGCTTTGCCTTTTCCAAGTGCTTTTCCATCCGTTATCTCATTAGATCTCTGTAACATCCCCAGTATGTAGGCCGGGTATGAAATTTCTTTGTGTTCCCGTAATTATGATTAACATACTATTTCTGAAAGAACTGCATCAAAACTTAGCCTTTTTAAGGCTCCCAGAAGGCCTGTAACAAACCCTGTAAACCTTGTTTAATCCCGCTTGTCCCAAACTTAATTTATTCACAGATATGGTTGGTTTCCCTGTGGGGCAAACTTGAGGTCTCATAGTAGGACCAGTGTTCTGTGGAACACAATTTTCCAAATGCCATGCCAGTGTCTTTTTTTTGTCCCCTTCTATGGATGCAGAAAATTAGACACTGAGGGGTCAAGTGACTTACCCAGAATGTGCCAGTTTACATAGGAAGTTCAAGTGGCCCAGGGCTCCTGAGTCTAGAGATCGGCCAACCATCATTCAGACCTCCTGCACTGCAGGTAGCTTGAGAATGCTCAAGACCAGGCATGTCGGCTTTTTGATTCAACTCTTTTCAAACCGTCTTTCCCTCCATAATACTGTCAAGGTTAATATAGTTCTCAGCATTTTTCCTCCCATGAGCTCGTTCTAAGATTTTATAATCAGAGCTACTCAGCCACCTATTGAACAGAGGATGACAGAGAATCTAAGAAACCTCACATTCCACTGAAGAATCACTTGTTAAGTCTACTTCCCGTAAAGCTCAGGTTACACAGTCCCCTTGTTTACTTCCCATTAGTTCACGGACCAGTTTTTCAGTGCCAGTTGTCATTTGTGTAGTGATGGTGTGAAATCTAAGTAGTACTCCTGAAAAAAAATTTAGCAAGAAGGTTAGTCCTTGCTAACACATCCTTGTTTTCTCTCTCTTCTGCCCACAATTCCGTATCTGTGTATAATCCACATTAATAGCTCTAACCTGGGCCTGCTCCGACCATTCCTCAGGAAGTAGAGAACTTTGCTTATGTATTTTTTGAGACTTTCACAAGGAATTTTTAACTTCTTTTGCTTCAGGACACAGAAATTGAGTTCTGTTTGTCTTTTTACAGAGGTAAATGTCCTTTTTGTCCTGTCAGCAACTCCACTGGGGACATTTTATTATTGTTTTGCGTGAAAGATGGTAAATTTCTAAAGAGGTCTCTGCCGGGAAAGTCACTGGTTAGTTTCTCCCCGTAAGAAGTTTTAAATTCACATTGAATTAGGAGTTTATTTTTAAATTCTTGCATTTTTTTCTGACTTAATTGACCTCAGAGCCTATTATTTGAACCCTGAACACCAAGGGTTAAGCTCCAATCAGTCAAGTAGCTCTGTGACCATTTATTTAACAGCAAAATGGAGATAATAACATCTACTTCCTTCCCTGTACAATCACTATATTCACACAGGAAAACTAGACTAAAACTGGCAATGAGTGTGTTCACTACATATCTCCTGACTCCAAATCTAGGGTGTTGATTGATTTTGCCCTCTACTCTTTGTCTGAATTCACTCTAGGTTCCACTTGAATCTCATCTGAAGGTGTGGAAGGCTGGCAAGCATGGGAAAAGCACAGTTAACGACTATCCAATAGAACTCATGGTCCAGAGCATCAGTGAAACTCCCTGAAGCATACCACTTCCAACCAGGAAAAGTCCCCAGATCGCCGAAGCTGAATTCTTAGAATTTTGGCTTATAATACGTCAACCACTTTTTCCCATTTTACTTGCAATATGGTATTTTAACTTATAAAGCATGTTATCAGTTCTTCTTTGAGGCGACATAACAAAACTTGCCATAACTAAATTAGCTCTATTTGTGTTAGTTCCCTTTTCCTTTGCAAAGTTCTCTCACGGAGCAATAGGCATCAGGTCAAGGAAAGGAAAAAAAGGAATGTCAGGCTGGTGTCAGGACTCTGTCCTCATATCTGGCCCTTCAGGCACTTTCAGGAAGTACCAAGGTCTATGAGCACATGAGGTTATGATGCACTAATTCAGCAAACATTTATTACACATTTATAGTCCAACTCAGGTCACGGAAGAGGGGATTTGAGGAAAGAGAACAAGTCCCTAAATCTTTCAAATCCTAAAATGAAAAGTACCACAAAAAAAGCAGTCACTATTCCACTTTTAAAGAAATTTGATGACTTTGGGCCAAGACGGAGGTGTAGGTGGAAACACTGTGCCTCCTTACATAGCCAAGTTTAAAGACAACAAAGTTTTAGTAACAAAAACGCAACCAAAACACAGATAATTGAACTGTACGGAACTCCAACAACAACGAGCCATTCAGACAGACTGGTAAGAGGGGTGGAGTCAGCGGCTGGTGGAGCAGGGTCGCGCGGGAAAAAGTGGCCTGACCCAAGCGCGAAGGCAGCGTTTGGCAGATCCCAGGTGTGGGGTGGCAACGGGCAGACCTAGTGGGAGTGCAAGGCGGCTGGCTGATCACGGTCACACCATGGTCACACACACATGGTCAAACCAAGCAGAGGAGCTAGCAGTGAGACAGACAGCGCAAACCAGGGCCCCAGCGCTGGGAAATAAAGCCTAAAAGCACCGATTGGAAAAACTTTCCGGGTCGAGGTGCCTGGAGAAGCTCCCAGGCTCACAGACAGTTCCTTAAAGAGACCCACAGGGTACTGGAGGGTGCACAAGCCCACACACCTGGGTACCAGCACCAGAAGGACCCAATTTGCCTGCGGGAAGCAGCAGAGGGGACCAAAATCTGAGAGAGAGCAGAACAAACGCCATTGCCCCTCTCTGACCCCGCCCCCACATACAGCATCACAACCCAGCCACTGGGTCACCCCACCCTGGTGAACACCTATAGCTCCGCCCCTCATACATAACAGGCGTGAACAGACCAAAATATTATGGCTCAAGAAGAACAGCTCAAAGGCCCAGAGCCAATATTTCTAAGAGACCAAGAGATAGCCAACCTATCAGATGCACAGTTCAAAACACTGGTGATCATTATGCTCACAGAACTGATTGATTTTAGTCACAAATTAGAGGAACAAATGAAGGCTACACTAAGTGAAATGAAGGGAAATGCACAGGGAATTAAGTGTGGTGAGAAGAAAACTGGGACTCAAATCAATGGAGTGGACCAGAAGGAAGAAAAAAAATGACCAAACAGAAAAGAATGAAGAAACAAGAATTCAAAAAAAAGAGGAGAGGCTTAGGAACCTCCAGGACATCTTTAAACATTCCAACATCCAAATCATAGGGGCATCAGAAGGGGAAGAGGAAGAGCAACAAGTGGAAAACTTATTTGAACAAATAATAAAGGAGAATTTCCCCAATCTGGCAAAGGAAATAGACTTTCAGGAAGTCCAGGAAGCTCAGAGAGTCCCAGAGAAGGTGGACCCAAAGAGGAACACACCAAGGCACATCACAATTACATTACCCAAGATTAAAATGAAGGAGAGGATCCTAGAAGCAGCAAGAGATAAGGGGACAGTCACCTACAAAGGAGTTCCCATCAGACTGTCAGCTGATTTCTCAAAAGAGACCTTACAGGCAAGAAGGGGTTGGAAAGAAGTATTCCAAGTCATGAAATGCAAGGACCTACATCCAAGATTGCTCTATCCAGCAAAGCTATAATTTAGAATGGAAGGGCAGATAAAGCACTCCTCAGATAAGGTCAAGTTCAAAGAGTTCATCATCACCAGGCCTTTATTATATGAAATGATAAAGGGACTTATCTAAGAAAAAGAAGATAAAAAATATGAACAGTGAAAGAACAGCAAACTCACAGTTATTAACAACCACACCTAAAACAAAAGCAAACTAAGCAGACAGCTAAAACAGGAGTGGAGCCACAGAAATAGAGATCCCATGGAAGGTTAACAACAGGGGAGTGGGAGGAAAAAGCACAGAGAATAAGTAGCATAGACGGTAGGTAGAAAATAGACAGGGGGAGGGCAAGAGGAGTGTGGGAAATATAGAAGCTAAAGAACTTATGATCCATGGACATGAACTAAAGGCAGGGAATGTGGGTGGGAGGGGGTGTGCAGGGTAGAGGGGAATGAAGGGGGGGAATGGGACAACTGTAATGGCATAATCAAGAAAATATATTAAAAAAGAAATTTGAAATAGATGTGGCATATAAAGCACATTTATAATGAAGGATAATAGGAATTCTTTGTTGTTTGTGACAGAATAATCTTAAAGGTCAATTTTCAATGCAGAAACATCATCTTTCTGGAGTAGAACTCAAAACTTAAAAAGAATATTAATGTTCAGAAAATCCCTGATTACCCTAGATTTATTTTAAAAGGGAAAAGAACTTCATTCACTTTTACCCACGGCTGAGAATCTCCAGGCACAATCAGCAGCTACAGTATCTAAAATGCCCTGCTAGCTTTGTATTCAGTTTCCTAATGATCACTGAAACTAGTTTCCCAATGATAGAGCCAATCCTTTAAATGCAATTAGCAGAAGAGACCTTGGTCTGGAATCCTCATTGTTACCAATAAGTCAGAACGGTGAGGGCCAGATGGGTTAATGACCTGAGCTACTGCCCCCACACTAATTCTCGCGATTTAACTACCAGAAAGCGTTCCTTGGACAGCGCCTGCCTGCGTTCAGCAGACACTAGGCAATACTGATGGTGTATTTTACTACAGAGCTAATCAAATTTCAACACTGGCTATTCTGAAATTGGTTCTGAAAGCAAAGGAAGGCTTTATCACTGAAAGGCAAGATTTGTAGGAAAATATTCTCTCTTTTCCTGCTCTTGAACCTACAAATTATTGAAAACTCTTAACTTTGTTCAAGATTTTCTCATTCAAAGTATAAATACCGACTGTGTGCTAGAGGAATCAACGGTCATTCTCACAACAGTATTTTATAACTTATCAAGCGTTTGCCTAATTATTATAACATTTGGTTCCTTACGACAAACCAACAAGAGAGGTAAAGCAACTATTCTAATCCCTATTTTACAAAAGAGCAACTTGATGATGGCAGAGATGGATTCTTGCCCGCCCATATCCACGCTTCCTTCCTTTTTAGTGAGAGCGTCTTGGTTTTATGCCCAGTGAAAAGACTGTTTCCCAGCTTCCTGGGAAGGTGGGTGTGATCATATCATCAAGCTTTGCCATTAAGCTGTAAGCTGAAGTATTGTGAGAGATTTCTGGGAAGTCTCGGCTGGGGCAGAAGAGAGCAATGGGGGTAATTGGGACAACTGTAACAGAATAATAAAAAAGTGGGGGAAAGGGAAGGGATACACTACTTCTTTAGTCTGCTTTTCCCTTTATCCATTTTTCTAAAGCAGAGATGTGAAGGCTGGAACTTGGCAGCCATTATGAGGACAAGCGCCAACTCATAGTAATGGAAGAGCTACAAACTAGGTAGCACCTTGACCCTTAAAAACTCTATGGAGCCATCAGCTTTGAACTGGCTGTTGCTGCAGTTTTCTCAAAGAGAGAAATAAACCCCTATCTTGTTTAAGTTATTACTATTTTCAGTTTATTTGTTTTATGCAGTAGAAGCCAACCCTAATGCCATGTAACTCTGGCCAAACTGCTTAACTTCTCTGGGTCTCGGTTACCACATTTCTAAAATGGGGATAATAGCATCTACCTCGTTGGGTTATTGTGAAAATTTGATTATTTCATACAAATAAAAGACTCTGAATGGCGTCTGAACCACTGGTACTGTTACTACTCTTCATCCCCAAGTAATATTTCACAGACACCTCAAATTCACTTTACTCAAAGTGAATTATTTTCACCTTTAATTCAATCATTCCTCACTAATGGCAATGCCAGTTGTCTAACTGCTTGTAGAGAAATCCGTAAGTTGTCCTCAACACCACCTTTTCTTTCCTATCCCCCAGATTCAATGTGTCACCAAGCTTGGCCAAAACTGACTTCTTAAATATTTCTCAACTCTCTCCACTTCTCTTCTCGGGTTAGGCCGGTTGTTTGCATCTCCAATTTCTGTGGTCTTACCCTCACTACTTACCTTCAGGACCAGCAGCCCAGGAATCGGTCATAAACGTGAATGAAATCATGTCACTGCTGTGCTAAATGCACCAGGTCATCCTGCTTTCGGGACAAGGTCTCAGAGCCTTGACGTGAACTTAGAGGCACAGAATATGCCCCACTCACTGGCTCCACCACCATTTATCTTTTCAAACACAGCAAGAAACACATCATTTCTGCCTCAAGGCCTTTATACCTGCTGTTCCCACTGCCTGGATAATTCTTCATGACACTCCTGAAAGCCAGTTTCCTCTTTAACAAAGAGTGTTGCACCTATTTCTGCCCACATTCCTTCCTAACAGAACCCAGACTGTGCTCAGCCATCTATCTTTTCCCTTCAGGACCGTGAGCTTCTCAGGGACTGACCCCACCCCAGCACTAACGGGTAGATCTCTGGGCAGTGACTGATTAAAGGATGGATAGGCTGCCAGGATTAGGCCCTTGAGATCTGTAAGAGATGCTTGTAGGTGGCAGGGCTTCTAAGATGAGCTTCCTTGCTCTTAAAGACAGACACAAGAGAGAGTCCCATTTCTAGGCTACTGCGGAATCTGGATGTGTGGCCTGAACTGTTGTAGCCATCTTCTAACTGGCCTGAGGGCTGGGTCCTGACGCCAAGGAGGGCAGAGCAGAGAACTATGGGTAAACGGAATCAGGCTTGCATTTGTGTTAAAGAATAAGTGACCTTGTTGTTTAAGGTGAAGAGGCACAGGGTCTTCTCTTAATGCAGCAAAAAGCATCCTAACTAACATGCTCCTATTAGACTGATTACTCTGGAGGATAAGGACTGCTAATGACACAGATAAAATGATCACTGAATAGTTTTTTAATGAATATATGACTTCCTACAAAAAGGCAGGATAGGCTCTGGTTCAGATACATATAATATTT